AGGGTAATAAAGTTATCTGTTTGTTTTTTGACTTAGCACGAGCTTTTGAAACTGTAAATCATCCAATACTGCTGGAAAAACTTTATCATAGTGGTGTTAGAGGAACTGCGTTAAAGTGGATCCAAACCTTTTTATCGAAAAGGTTTCAAAAAATTAAGGTCAATGTGAATGGGAATATAATATTTTCTTCAGAAGAAAGTGTCCTCTCCGGAGTTCCACAGGGAAGTATCATTGGCCCTCTTTTATTTTTGATTTTCGTCAATGATTTAAATCAACTGATAAACGATAGCTCAACATGTTTGGTTCGGAATCCATTAGATAATTTTTCTGATGCAATAAGCGTTCGAGGAGAAAAGTTGGAACAGCAATCAGGCTGGGCTGTTACGTCACTCAATTTGCTGACGATACCACAGTTGCACTAAATTCCAATAATTTTTTTCATGTAGTACAAAAAGCAAACTGTCTTGTGAAAAGTATGACTCATTACTGTTTAAATAATGCCCTAATCTTAAATAGATCAAAGACAAATATGGTAACCTTTTCACCTTCTACTATGCAGATGAGTCCATTAGTAAAGCTTGTCAAAGGGTCTGTGGTTAATAGCCACTCAAGTTGTTAGGTGTTTACATGGATTCAAATTTGTCTTGGAGTTCTCACGTTGATTCTGTAGTGGGAAGATTGTCTGTACACTGTTATGTTCTAAGGCAACTTAGGAATTTTGTCTTCCTAGATATCTTGAAACTTTACTATTTTGCTCATGTACAGTCAATTTTGCAATATTGCTTAGTTTGTTGGGGAAATTGCTCGCTAATTAATGAGGTGCTTGTTCTTCAAAACAAAATTATTTGTACCATGACGTTTAGAAGGCGCTTGGATTCCTGTAGACCAGTTTTTAAACAATTAAATATTTTAACTGTAATTTCTCTGTATATTTTCAGTTGTGTTGTTTATATAAAGTCACATAGATGTAATTTTATTTGCAGAAATGATGTTTCCTTAATAAGTGGCTACAATTTTCGTTACAGAAATGATTTGGTGACCCCTGCTCGTCACTTGACTGTTGTGGGCAAGGGTCCTTACCCAACATGCGTTAGTTTGTATAATAAATTACCTAATTATGTTAAAGAGTCAAATATTTATGTATTTAAGAGAACAGTTAAGGACTTGCTTCTAGCAAACACTTTCTATTCGTCAGAGGAATACTTGCAGGCATCTTTTTAACAATTTGTATGTTTTTGTGTATATTTTATGTTTTATGTGCTTATAGTTTTAACTTTTTTTACTACCTATGTACCTATAGTTTTTTAGATTGTATTTTGACGCATTTCAATACTTGTAAAAGTCAGATAAAATAAAGAATATTGATTGATTGATTGATTGATAAGTTGGGTTGATCGAGTAAGAAATGAAATAGTTTTACATCGAATGAAAAAGCACAGAAATAACAAAAACGATAAAAATTCGAGTTACAATATTTCGGTCATGTAATGAGACATCCAGAGAGGTATAACCTTCTACATCTCATAATACAGGGTAAGATCGCCGGAAGGAGCGGCTTAGGCCGACGAAGAACATCCTGGCTCCGAAATCTCCGAGAATGGTATCAAGACACCACCGCTAATTTATTTAGAGCCGCCGTAAACAAAGGTATTATTGCCAATATCATCGCCAACGTTCGATAATCGAACAGGGTACTGAAAGAAGAAGAATCGTAACTTGCGACCATTTTTTCTATGGTAACCTTATATTATCATATTAAAAACGAAATAGCTTTAATTTGATAATAAAAAAAATGCATATACGTCATGAGCAGCGTATTTTATTTAAAAAATAAATACCCGAAATAAAATTTTTGTTCAAAAGTTAATTATCATTAATTGAGAATTAATTGATACTACTTATTCAATTTTTTATGCCTAACTCTAGAATTACTAAAACAAAATTATTTTTTTAAAATTTATTTAGAATATATACAAAACGCAAATTAAACCTAATTTTGCATATGGGTCATGGAGATCCACTCCTGCCTGGGCGTACTTGGCGCAGATCCAGGTCGTTCATCGTTGGTGCTGTTAACAGGAGTACTTTCTTCATATTCTTCTTTTTCAGAACTATTCACATCAGAATGGTACACCACCGAAGCTGTTCTATCTAAACCTATTTGAGTATATGTTAGATCGGAATTAACCACTGGAATATAATCGTGGTTCTGATAAGCCACATCCCCGTAGTAACCAGAATAAGAAAGATTTGTGATACTGGCTATCGGGGAGTGTTGGTATATTTGGTGACTAGGTGATTGGTTAGGGGTAGTTTGATTGGGTAGTTGGTGCGGGGGAGGAGAATTCGAGGAGAGAGACCAACAATTTACAGCTGCAGGAGGAGTCTGTATTGTTGTCATTGTTGGCCAGCTTGTGTATGTTGGTCCTGTAGAGCTGTATAATGATTGTTGCTGGATGTGATCTGGTGGAGTGTATACTGAAACAAATATAATAACTAATAAAAGTAACATTGGTAAAGTCACTATTGGACAACAAAGAGCTATACATATATTATAATTCTTTGTTAACCAGATATTACTATCATAGGAAAAAGATGGCCGGGAATATATAGAAAGGTACCTAATTAGGAGAGGAATACCAAAAGCAGGACTAACAATTTAAACTTAAACAAATTATCTTAATATATGGGAAGAGACAATAACGCTAATTTATAGGGTAATATGAGGAGAATAAGGGGATGTAAAAATAATAGTTATCTTGGAGAAAAATTAGTAAAGAGTGAACCGACAATGAGGAAATTAAAGAAATAATATTCCAAGGATTCAAAGTTCTATGCATATTATAAAATATATGCTAGCACAAAGATATCAGAAAAGGAAAGAAAATAAATATCTACAGTACGTGCTTGTTTTGATATTCTTTTTAGAATTATTTATACTTCAATAAAAGCTAATATAATAGGCTGTTCAATAAGTTCTGCGGTTCGATAAGAAAAACACAATTTCATGATTTGAAAAAAACTTTATATTATTCAGTATAGTATTTCTGAACAAATATACCTGTTCCAATGAGATTCAATTTATCAATTCTATCCCTGAAGTGAGAATCTGGAAAGGCTACAAAATGCGCTTCCCTGCTGTTATTACCTCATCATTTGATTAAATACGCTTTCCACGCATGAATTTTTTCAGTTGTTAAAAAAATGGAGGTCACTAGTGGCCAAATCTGGTGAATAAGTTGGATGCTTTAATTCGAACTTTAATTAATGAATTTTAGCCATTGTCAACATACTTATATGACACTGTGCATTGTTCTGATGAAAAAGGGTTTTTTTCTTCTGCAAATCGGGTATTTTTTTAGGTATTGCAATAGATGGAAGTCGTTAGACTAAAGCAATTCGAACAATTCGAACTTAAATTCATGGATTTTTTCTTCTGTCTTTTTTACGAATTTTTTCCTTCATGGTCTAAAAAGACAATAATATTCAGAATTTATCGTTTTACCAGTTTGAAAGTAATCCACGGATAAAATTCATTTTGCGTTCCAAAAATTGATGCTACCACATTGACCGATTTCTGGACAGGAACTCGTTTCGGACCTGAAGGTTCACAGTACTCTTTAGCCTATTGTTTTGATAATGGTTGGGAAGAGATAACCAGACATGTAAGCTCCCACGTCGCAGAGGATTAGTCTGGGCAACGTTTGCTAAATTGAGCTATGTATTGAAATCGAATCTACCCATATGCCTCAAAAGGAAAATCTTTGACCAATGTGTGTTACCTGTACTCACTTATGGAGCGGAAACATTAACACTCACAAAAAAGGTAGTTAATAAGATTTGCGTGACTCAAATGGCTATGGAACGCCAGATATTGAGTCTCTCTCTGAGAGACCGAATTCCAAACGAAGAGCATGTTGCGTCATTTTCATGTCATTGAAAAATGACACATGGACTGTAATTTTAAAAGAACTGCAGGCTGACCTTGCTATTATATACGCAAAAGGAGTCTATGGTGCCAAAAATTTCACAACCAACAACTTGTGGTCAAGAGTATGGGGTCCTCAGATTTTTAGGCAAACTATGCCACAAGACAGATTCAAGGATATTATAAAATATTTCAGATTTGACGTAAAACAAATGATCTGAACGATTGAAAACCGGCAAATTTGCTCTAATCTCTGCGGTTTGAAATAGATTTATAGAAAATAGTGGTGCTGTTACAAACCGGGAATGAACCTTACTGTGGACGAACAACTACTGTCTTCTAAAGCCATGTGCCCATTCATACAGTACATATCAAATAAGCCGGATAAGTTTGGCATAAAATTTTGGCTTTTGGCTAGCGTGAAATAAATATATTGTAAATGGTTACCCTTATACTGGTACTGATCATCTACACAATAAAGCTACAAGTGTTGGTGAACACATTGTCTTGCGGATAATGGAAAATCAACAGGGAAAGGACAAACATGTTAAGACAGATAATTACTTTACGTCTTGGCCAAGGCATTGCAAAAGAAATCAACAAGTCTTGTTAGTACTTTGAATTTCAACAGAAAGGAAGTTCCTCTAAGCGTAAAGTGTAAAAATAGAGAATTGTATGTTACCATAATATTCCAGAGCGACGAAAAAATTACACTTACTGTATATCAAGTAAAGAGTTACAAACATGTGCTTTTGTTGAGCCTGTTACATCAATCAGTGGATATTGCTGTCGATGGACAAAATCTTCTTGGAAATAGTAAGTTTTTATATGGGGTTGATGTGGTGGACCAAATGACGCGTCTTTATACTACAAAAGTTGTCTCAAGACAATGACCAATGCACGTGTTTTATAAAATTCTTGACTTAGAAGCAAAAATGCACGGATCATTTATACAGAAGTAACCAGTAGCAGACTCAGTCGTCGTAAGTTTATTCTTCAGCTATGTGTAGAATTACAGCTCCATACCTTGGCTCCCGAAATCTGGTACTACACCCAGCAACACCGGTTCTACCAATAACCAGCATTGCTACTATTTAAAAACGACAAAAAGTCAGTTAAAAATATTTTGTAAAGGGAATCATACTTTCAATCAGTGACACGGCTGTAGTAAGCCAATGTGTAAAAAATGCCAAAAACTGCAAACTATATGATGTTCCAAATGTTTAAATAATGAAGCTAAATAATAAAATCAGATTCTATCGTTTAGAGTTGATCTAATTCTTTAAACTTGTTTTTTATCTATTTAAGAACTTGAGGCAAAAATTATCTCCTCAGCTTTCTAGTTAGGTATGCTAAGTCAGACTTTCTAGTAATAATTATATCTACATTTTTCATTTCTTGTATCCATAGGTGATGAATACTAGAAATACTAAGAGGTCAACAGGAGGTGACTCTCCAGAAGAGTTCATTCTGGACAGAGCGACTGGCGAGGATATCGTGGACCAAGTAACGTATTAAACCTTCAATAAATTAGAGAGAGAGGCAAAAAATACCGGTCTAAGGGTCAATAAAGAGAAAAACAAATATATGTGCATTAACAGACAAAAGAGACGAGATAGAATAGGATAAAATGTAACAATAGACCCCTATAACTTTGAAAGAGTGGAGAGTTTTAAATATCTCGGAGCGACTATCACCACAGATAACGATATCACGGAAGAGATAAAAGGGAGAATTTAGGCAGCAAACAGATGTATGTATAGCCTCCACAACACTATTAAATCCAAGAGCCTAACACGAACATAAAAAATCAGGATATATAAAACAGTAATTAGACCGGTGCTCATGTATGGGTGTGAGACGTGGACGCTGACAAAAGCAATGGAAAGTAAACTCAGATGCTTTGAGAGAAAAATCCTCAGAAAGATCTTCGGTCCCTATCACGATCCGAATACTAACCAATACCGAATGAGAACAAATGCCGAGGTCAAACAAATGTATAGTGCTAGCGACGTAGTCCAAGAGATTAAATCCCAACGTCTAAGATGGGCTGGCCATGTTCATAGGCTCCCTAATAACCGCCTTACCAAGTTAATCTGGGAAGAAGTCCCGACAGGGAGAAGGCCCTTAGGACGTCCACGAATGCGATGGAGAGATAATATATGGTCAGATTTGAGAACAATGGGGCTACCCACTGACTTAAAATCATGGACGACCGTTCGAGATGGAAGCAGGTTGTGCAGTCAGCCAAGACCCACCCGGGTTGTAGTGCTACCAGAAGAAGAAGTCCCTCAGATTCTTCCCAGCGACAAATCAAGAATATGTATTGATTATATCAAATCTTCTTCTTCTTTATCAACCATTTTCCATCCACTCCTGAATGTAGGTCTCTCCCAATTGCTTCCATCTTTCTCTATCTTGCGCCAATCTAATCCACTGTTTGCCTGCCACTGCTCTTATGTCATCTACCCATCTTTTTTGAGGTCTTCCCATGCTTCTTGTTGTCGTCCTTGGTCTCCATTCTAGAATTCTCCGTGTCCACCTGTTGTCATTATATCGGGCTACGTGACCTGTCCATCAAAGTATATCATCAAATTATACTATATCAAATAGTTAAATATAAAGTTTATGTAGAAAAGTTAAAAAAAAAGTAAAGAAGGTTAGGTTTTTGCGGCTAGTGTTTTGTAATGATGCATTGTTTCTGAGGTTTATAGACAGTTTCTGGAATTATTTCTTATTAACGTTTCGTCTACAAATGTGGCTGACATTATTAAATACTATATGACAACGATTGTAATTGTCGTCCGCCCACTAATGCTACTGGTCGAATATTTGCCCTATTAGAGTCTTCGTTTTCTCCCGATTTCTGTACGTTGGTCCGAATCGCTATTTGAAAAAAAAAATATGGAAAATATTCAGAGGACAAAGAAAAGAGATGAACGAACTAATAAAAACGAAATACATTCAGAAGGAAACATGGAGTAGACTACTTTCGATCCCCATTTGCTAAAGGTGACGATAATCCAACGCAGAGGTGACGACAAACGAAGAAATGAATATTGAGGGGAAAGAGGTAAAGGAAGCATTAAGGAAATTAAAAAATAGAAAATCACTAGGAGAGGACAGAATACAGAACAAAATCCTAAAGTACGAAGGATCATATCTGACCAAACAACTAATAAAAAACTAATCCAAAAAATAATAAAACAAAACAGAATTCCAGAGATATCCATATTTCTCTTACCATGCGAGGGTGGTGACACTGATGCTGATTTTTGCCTTTGTATTGTGTATGGTGCTGATTTTTGTCTTTTTAATGTTGGACTTGATCTAAACTGGCATGCAGACATTTGAGATGCTGGTGCGTACATTGGTTGATGCGGAAGGAACCAAGAACCATCTGAAAAAATACGAATTAATTTAAAGTAGTACGTTATTGTTAGCTTAAGTTTATTTTAAATAATAATGCAAATGTAACTATGAACATAAATTACATTCACTTTTAATTTGAAATACTTCTTTTATTAATATTATTCTGAAGCTATTTTCTTGTAGCATCTTAAACCAATTACTATTTTAATGGGAATACGCTACAGTTTAAGTTTAAAATAAGTTAAATAATCTAGAGCCAAGAACCGGTAAGTACCAAAATTAGTTTATGACCTCACGGAAATATTTTCGTTCTTTTGATTTCTTTTGGTAATACGCAATTCTCAAACATTTTTTTTTCTAATTTACGGTGATAGGTATACTTATTTGTAAGTTTTTACTTAATATAATACAGTTATTATTCTTTTAAAGTAACGGTTAATACAAGGATTTCAATTATTAATTGAGTGGCAAGACCACTACTCTGGAACGTTGGTTAAGGTTTTAGCCGGGTGGCGTCTCAGGGTGTCGTGCTCCGTGACGTTAGATGTCTAAAAAAATTTTTCCACCGTTGCCTGCCAGAATTCAATGGAAACCTTCTTAGGCTCTTACTTGAATCTAATAATTCGACAATTAAAAACTGACTTTCCCACATGTTAATGCACTACTATGTCAGCAAATTTCTTAACAACCGCTCTAAATGGTGTTGCTGCTAGTAGTTTTAAATTGAATTTTACTATAAGGACAAAGATAATATATATACATATAATATATATATATATATATATATATATATATATATATATATAATATATATATATATATATATATATATATATATATATATATATATATATATATATATATAAGCGAGGTTCCTACAGCCTCTGCCGCCTCTCGCATTTCGACCGCCATCGTTTTCTGTCCATCCATTCGTCTTGTGATGGCTCTATCTCTCATTATGTGTCGTACATTTTCTTGACAGGCAACTGAAGGTCTTCCCTTCTTCTTCTTTGTTGTGGTATGTAATTTAAAGCTTTCTTTGGCCATCTATCTTCATTCATTCGCTTCACGTGACCATACCACACTAAATGAAATCGTAGGCTTCCACGGCCAGAGTCAGAATTATAGTTTATTCATCTTCCAGGTTTGGACCGTGTCATTTGTGAGTGACCCAAAAGTGGGTTCATCTCGACGTTTCGCTACAATTGTATGTAGCTTTTTCAGGAGAACAAAGAAAAAGAAATCAAAAGACAGGAAGATGGGTAGTTAGCAACGGTAACTCAGTTACTCAACGCAACCAGAGGCGAATACTAACTACCAAGATGGGCATTTGGTCACAGTAACTCAGCTACTTAACGCAGCTAGAGGTGAAAACCAAATTCCAGGACATTGCATAGCTTTGTGCCCTCCAAAATGAATTGGCAGGACCCTGGTCTACCTGGCCTTTCGGCATACGACCGTTAGCGCTCCCACTGCCCCTACGAGTCCGACACCAATTGGAGGTGGCACGATGCCGAAACATCGTGGGGCTCCACCTCCCCCGTAGTACCTGTGTTGCGGGTCACGCCACCCTTCCGTGAATCCTCCCCCCGGAGGCGGAAAGGCACGCAGGTGGTGGAATACCACCTCGCACGTAGACAGGTCGCCGCCGAGGAATCACTCCTCTACCACTCGTTAAATCATTCCGAGGTGTGGTACGTGCCGGGTCACCCGCTCCCCTTCCGCGGTGTCAGCTTCCGGGGAGCCTCCGTACCTGGCTCGTTCAACCACACCCGGCTCTTGTGGAAAATGAGAGTAGAGTGGTCCCACGAGGTGCTCGTCTCGGATACTAGGAATGTAGACCGGTGACTGAGATGACTAAGCATCTCTGTGCGTTTCTACCAACCCGACACCTCAAACGACGGCCCTCCACCTCTCATATCCGCCCATTAGTCGCCTCTTACGACAGGCAGGGTCTTCTGGCCCCGGCCGTATTCTTATCTCCTCGAGCCGGAAGGAGAAATGCCAGGACAGGGCTTCACGTCCAACAGCTCAGAACACTAACGCGTCGAGAGGCGGGGAGTGAATCCGACGATTACTCCGCTACCGCTCATTACCGCTTATTATTTACCACCTATGTCTATTCCCATACCGGATACTTGTTTCCTCCACTGCTCTGCGATGATTAAATATATATTTTAAATAAGGTCGGAGATAGACAACATCCTTGTTTAAGCCCCTTTGTTATTAGAAATGATTCAGATATAAAGTTTCCTTCTTTAACGGCACTTTTTGCATTTTTGTATATATCTGCGATAGCATTCACATACTCTCTACTGAGACCTATTTTCTGCAATGTTTGAAACAGTTTTTTCAAAGGTACCGTATCGTATGCCTTCTCTAAATCTACAAACAATAGGTGGGTAGATAGATTCCTTGCCTTCCGTTTTTCGATTACCTGCTGCAGAACGAATATACCATCAGTGCACGATCTTCCTGCACGAAATCCATTTTGTTCTTCTATGTCTTCGTATTCTGATTCTATCCTTTCTTTTATTATTCGACCGTACAACCTCCCCACTGAGCTGATAACAATTATTCCCCTATAATTAGAGCACAAAGATAATACTCTACTAAAATAACGTTTTATTTTACTAGGAGACCCATAATGACAAATACTTTAATAGTAACATAAATAAGCATAATGTATCATAAATAAAACTTGCTAGACCAATTCCGCAGCACTCCAGATTTTTGTAGGTATACGATTTCTTTTGACAGTGAATACAATTAAAAAAGTAAAAAAGTAAATAGTATATTATACTTACATTGAGAATACTGACTTTGTTGCTGTCCATAACTGCTTGAAAATTCCCTCTGGCTATATAAGTTATCAGGTCTTTCTTTTGCGTCGAGAAAGGCTTTAGCGAAGGGATTGTATTTGATTTTCAGGGACGTTACTTCTTCATTTTGGTAGGCAGTTACGGCGATGAACTGTGTCTCGGGAAAAGGGAAGGTCAAGACTCTTCTAGGCTCGGTGCCAACTCGGACTAGATGGACTCTGGGTTCATATTTGTGAAGGGAGTTAAGCATTATTTGACCGTTTCCATTGGATTTATTCGTGAGTTTTACCTAGAATTGTATACAATTTGTATGAGTATTTTTTATAGTAGAGATGTGGTAAATGTCAAATAATAGGATAAAAATAAAAATATATTACAAAATATACAATATATAAAATAAGAATACAAGATGTCAGGAAATAAACACGACAAGGCTCCTGCCACAGCAGATTTAATTACTATGCTGAATATTTCCTGATGACGATCAATGCAGAAGGAAAATCACCTGTTATTATTTTTATTTTTTTCCTCAACATATCATGTACTCAGTATTAGTGAGTGTTTTTTATAAGGTATATTCCTTTAGATTTTTTGCATGTTTGTATAACCATGGTTTTTTATACAACACTAAATTCGTATGTAGATAGTAATAAGCGAAACATTTTCTAACTAAATATCATTATATGATAATGACCAAGGTAAATTTTAAAATTTTATTTTTTTTTTAAATAAAATTTATTTAAGATTATTTTTAAATCAAATATTTTACCAGGTCAACGAGAGGAAAAATACTTAACTTTTTATAAAGATAAAGGGTTAAAGGTATCTTTTTGTAATGGACATACATGAAAATTAATATGTCCAGTTAAACTGAGTTTTTAGCTAGTAAAGATGATTTAGCTAGTAATAAATACAGTCATCAGAAACACCGACGAAATCCCCATACAACGAGGAGTCAGACAAGGTTGCATTTTGTCGCCAACATTGTTCACTGTTTACTCGGACCAGTTTTTTAAAAAGGCACTTGAGAGACAACCATATGGAATAAAAATCAACGGGGAAATACTTAATGTGATTAGATATGCAGACGATACAGTAATTCTATCAGATAATATTGAAGGTCTTCAAATTCTGTTGATCGTTTCACGAGGTAGGAGAGGAAATGGGCATTAAAATAAACTCAAACAAAACCAAATTTTTAGTGTTTAGTCGTGACCCACCTCCCGATGCAAAGCTTTAATCGAATGGAGTCCAAGTTGAGAAAGTTCACAAAATGACATATTTGGGAACTTTGATAACGGACCAACTAGATCCAGATTGTCCCGTGTGGGATGCGGGCCACTAAAAAGAATACACCCACAGTATCTCCTACTGGTCGTAAGAGGCGACTGCAGGAGCAGCTGACCGCTGTCCTTACCCAACAGTCCGTCTCGTCCCATACCCATTTATTTACCAAGAACCTATCTCAGCCACACCCCGAGTGTCGGATGAGTCCTCTTGACCGTGCTTGAGTGGAAGAGGTCCACTTTTCGCGGGGGGTGTGTGGCATATACATGTCGCGCCCCCTACACACAAACTGCGTAACTTGCGCCTCTCCCCATTCACACACTCCTAAATTCCTCAATCTTTGACCGGAAGGTCGATAAACATTTCTGACGGAGGGCAGCAGCGACCGCCAGTACCAAGTTAAGGCGTATAGGAAATTATCCTGAACCGGCTTATCATTGGAATTTCACAAGCGGAGCTGTAACAGCAGAAAGGTTGTGATACTGCGATGCAATAGGGCAGGGGAAACCATTGCATAATAATTCCCAAGAAAGTTATGCGTGATGTCATCGAATGGAATGCCTCGGATGTTGTCACGCAGCCCGGTTGACGACCGGCGCTACCTTGAGTCCGGGTCAAGTAGTGTAAAATTGGCCACCGGCCACAAATGCTAGTGACCAGGCATCGTGTGGAAATTCAGCTACTGGTCTACAAAAAGATAAAGTAAAACTCAGGCAGCTATTGAAGGTCGGTACATGGAATATACAAGGGCTAAAAACGATCACAGGTAAGCTAGCAATTATTGAAAACGAGCTAGCAAGATACAATATAGAAATCTCTGGACTAGCTGAAACTCATTGGTTAGGAGAGGGCCATTTTAGAACAGACAATGGCAATTATATTTACTTCTCTGGCGGTGAGACCCAGAACTATACAGGTGTTGCCATTCTGGTCTCACCAAGATTACAAAAGTCAGTTGTCGAATTTAAAGCTGTGAACGATAGGATAGTACTCATTAAACTGGATGGCAAACCACATAAACTTAATATCATACAAGTTTACGCGCCAACCAGCACATCAGATGACATAAAGATCGAGGAGTTCTACGAAAAACTGGAGACCACAATCGCTAACATACCAAATAAAGAACTTACTATAATATGTGGCGACTTTAATGCAAAAGTTGGCAACACTACACAAAATGACGACTTAAAGAATGTACTGGGAAAGTTTGGCATAGGGCAGAGAAACGAAAGAGGAGACCGTTTAATCGAATTTGCTATCACAAACAACTACTCTATCATGAATACTCGATTTAAACACCATGTACGTCGACTTTATACTTGGAAAAGTCCTGGAGATAGATTTAGAAATCAAATAGATTACGTCCTCACCAATATTCGCTGGAGATCGTCCATTCAAACAGTCAGATCATATCCAGGGGCGATATGCGGATCCGATCATACTCTCCTCGTAGCTAAAGTAATGCTTAAACTTAAAGCACCCAACAAACAAAGAGAGATAAAGAGGATAGAACTAAGAAAGAAAGACGACCTTCTACAGGAAGTACAGAAAAGTATGCCCTCTATTCGTAACGGAACATCACAAGAAATATGGGAGACTGTTAAACATTGCGTAACAACACCAGTGGATCGCTCAAAGAAAAATAATCCGGTGAAACGGAAACACTGGATAACAGATGAAACTCTTAAAATAATTGAGAATAGAAGAAATCTTTGTAAAAGTGGTGTACATAGTGAAAGGGAAAAAGCTAGTTTAAGAAACCTCAATAAAGAAATAAAACGAAGATGTAAGGCCGACAAAAAACAGTACTATCAAAGTATATGCAAAGAAATTGAGAGACATGGTCAGAATAATCAGCCGAGAGATCTATTTAGAAAAATACGCTACCTGACAAGAGACTTCAGAGCCAGAACTTGGGCCATTGAAGATAACACTGGAACCCTGAGAACAAACAGAGAAGACATAGCAGAGACATGGAGATCGTATTGCAGGGACCTATATAAAGATGATCAACGCCAAGAGCTTGTTAGCCAAATCTCTGACGAGGTGGAAGAAGAACCTGATATACTCGAAAATGAAGTAAGACAGGCTATCAACAAGCTCAAATATAACAAAGCACCAGGTCCAGATATGATAACAGCAGAAATGCTTAAAGCCACAGAAGAAACCGGCGTAAAGTTACTTCATCTACTCTGTAACCAAATATGGCATTCCAAACAATGGCCTGAAGACTGGACAAAATCTACAATAACGACCATACATAAAAAAGGCAGCTTCCATAAATGCGACAATTATAGAACTATCTCTCTTATATCCCATGCCAGCAAGATAATGCTACATATAATCAATGAGAGACTGAAAACATTCCTTCAAAGAGAAATTCCACAAGAGCAAACTGGATTTACCAAAGGTAGAGGCACTCGAGAACACCTGCTGAATATAAGACAGATAATCGAGAAATCTAGGGAATTCAACATCCCACTATACATCTGTTTTATAGATTACCGTAAAGCGTTCGACAGGGTCAAGTGGAGACACTTATGGCGAATACTAAAAGAAGTAGGCGTACCACAACATCTAATTACGCTTATAACTGAACTATATGAACACACTACTGGATCAGTTAAAGTACTTGACACACTTTCGAACGAGTTTCATCCAGAACGGGGTGTCAGACAAGGATGTATACTATCTCCACAATTATTCAACATATATGGGGAGTATATTATGCGAAGAGCACTTGAAGGATGGGAAAAGGGCATCTCAATAAATGGTCATAAACTAAACAACCTACGTTTCGCAGATGACACAGCCCTTCTTGCAAATAGTCAAGCAGAGCTGATGGAACTTATACGACTGATCGAAAACGAAAGTCAAATATTTGGTCTGCAATTAAACATATCAAAGACAAAGATCATGATAGTGGATAGACTACACAACAATCATCCACACATAACCACAATTGACCGGTTCGAGGTTGTGAGCTCATACTTATATCTGGGATCATTAATCACAAACACAGGGTCATTACAAGAGATTAAACGAGTGATCTAGCAAAGTTGCACAGCAAAATGACCAAATAGGAGGATGTCAAATTTCAAGAGCGATAAAGATGAGGTTGATCAACTGCTTAATATTCCCAATACTGACCTACGGATGTGAATCTTGGACTCTGAGACAATCGGAGAGAAGAAAGATAGACGCCACTGAAATGTTCTGTTGGAGACGAATGTTACGAATTCCTTGGACCGACCGTAGAACAAATAATTCAATTTTAAGAGAGCTAAAAGTTAGCCAACGACTCTCTAGTAAAGTCCATCTCCAACAATTAAAATATTTTGGGCATGTTATGAGAGCAAACACAGAAAACATGGAAAGACTCATAATACAAGGAAAGGTAGAAGGCCGAAGATCACGAGGAAGATCCCCAACAAGATGGATAGATCAAATTACAGGAATATGCCAAAGACCTATGCATGAATTAAAAGAAATGACCAGAGACAGAGATCTCTGGAGACGGACAATACACGACATCACGTCGACCACTACACTCCCCCTGTGGGGCAGGATTGAAGAGAGAGATCCAGATATAGCAATAAAACGTAGAATAGCAATGAGTAAAACTACTTTTATGAAAATGAAGTCATTTCTTATAATAACCATCTCAGTTTAGAACTAAGGCAAAGAATGATTAAGTGCTATGTTTGGTCTCTACTTTTGTATAGTGCAGAATTGTGGACGCTAAAAGTATCGATCATGAACAAAATTGAAGCATTGGAAATGTCGGTTCATAGACTGAAGATACCTTGGACAGCAAGAAAAAGTCATGAAGAAGTACTAAAGAGCGTCAACAAAGACAGAGAACTGCTAAAGACTGTTAAACATTGAAAAATCTCTTATCTGGGACATTAGTAAGACATCAGTAAGACGTGATAGTAAGGGGAAGTCGATATAAAATTTTACAACTGATCTTTAAAGACAAAATAGAGGGCCGTATAG